TTTATCGCTTTAAATACAGATTCGAAAATATATCCCCGCACTTTAAAGAAACTACCGCTATATTTTATATTCTCTCCATTCCTGGGATCATCTCTGTAATAAAGAAAGTTTATCTGTAAAAATTTCTTCGGCACTCATTCTCACTCTTTGTCTTTTTCGTTCACTTTCTTTTTGGAGGGGTGAGCTCCGTGTGCATATATTTTTTTAAGTTCACGTCGTAATAAATCCGCAACGGGGTTGGCGCCATTTATCTCCGTACCAGGAGAAGGAGGAAAAGGATGAGGATCCCGTCCAAAAAGGTGAAGCGGTAATTTTAATGATATTTAATAAACCACACAAAGGATCAGGGTTCTGGCCCAATCTCCATGCAATTTGCGCCCCAGGAACCGTCACTGTTCACTGTTGGAATTATAAATAAGGCATTGTGTTCCTAAAATATTTCCTTCATTAAATCTATTTAGCCTTTCCCAATGAAGATTTTGATGCGGTTTCATCAGTTTATGAAACCACAAGCACATAGAATTAATAATCAGAATTCACAACGATATGAAGAGTTATATAACTAATTTTTAATCCTCATTTAATTACAAAATATAATTGATGTAGGAAGTAAAGTAAGTCAATATAGTAAGTTCTAATGGTATGAAAGTTCTTGTATATGAAAGTATCTTACTATAACGTAAAACATTAAATATCATAAGGATTTTCAACAATAAACATAGTTATCTAATTTGTTTTATAAGATACAATAGTTATACTAATTTTATTTACTATTTTACAACAAGTTTGAAATATACTAATAATAGTACACTTTAGAAATACCATTAAGAAAAAACAAAATATGAAAATTATACTTAATGAATTTTTTAAACTATTTACTATTTTTCAATATTGTTTTTTTTTGTGAATATTTTATAATTTGTTTATAGCATGCTTGCAAAAGTTAATCTTATCCATTTATGTCAATAAATTTTATTCTTAAGCTTAACTGAGAAGAGTTTTTTTAAATACATATTATTGATTAATTATAACAATTTTACATAATTTTGATTTACTTATGACAATAATATATTATCGACCATACTATTATTAAACATGTGGCAATGTTTGCTTAATGTGCAGTAAATATTGCAATTGCGACATGCTATATATTATGTTTCCAAAAAAAAGTATTAACAGAAAGCTAATAACCACCACGCAAACAATCTAGGATGCAATCTCGGTTTTGTAATGAGTATACATGCACAAGCATCGCCGGTAATAAACACACATGTGCAGACAGTGAATAAACATTCAGGATGCAGGCAAAAATAATGTAAACGAAATGAAGAATCGCCCTTATTATTATTCGTTCCAGTCTTTGTATTTTTCGTGAATAAAAAAAAATAGTACTCGTCGAGTGCGCGAAATTAACATTTTTTTAATAAATTTCACCGGTCTGCGGCGACGGCGGATCCGACGAAAAGTGCCCTTTGGTCCACTTCACATCAGACGCAGGAGAATGGGGAATGGATTTGATATAAATTCCAATTAAAATTGTTATGAAAAGGGAGGCCAGGTCGAGGACCCTCAATTGGGGGTAATTAATTTTTCAAAAGGATAATCCATACACTAATTTATGAAATGCCAATGTCGACGTAACGCCACACCCCCGCATCGAAAGTGAGTGAAATCTTTCAAAATCAAAACCGTCGAGAGAAGGAAAAAAAGAAGAAGGGGGAAAACAAGTATATATCAAGATGAAATAGAATTATATCGAACGCCCCCCCCCCCCAAAGACGTTGATTAATTACATCATCATCATCGTCGTTGCGCTCACTCCTCCACTCTCCGAAGGCAACATTATTACATAAAAGGCATTCTTTTCGCTTTATGAAATGGGACACTCTTGATAAATTCATTAATTAAATTTTCAACTTTCCAACTTGGCGGCCCGCAGCGTTATAGATAGTGGTAGAGGAAGACGAAAGAGCCAGAAAACCTACGAAATAAAATAAAGTTTTTTTTTTTGGGAGGGCGAATCTAATCAGGTCGTGCATTGTCAGATTTTGATGTTGCTTTCTTTTTTTTTGTTCCGTCCCATCCCTTATTTTGTAAATTTGATTCCCATGTTGGCGAAACTAATCTAAAAGTTGGCAAGTTAAACTGAATAAAATGATTAGGGTAGTAGCCTAGAACGTGTAATCGAATCGCTAGGGTTGCTTGAGCCATAGTTATTGAATGGCATTTAATGATGTCGGGGTGGGTTTCGTAATTGGCCGTCTGGGCATGCGGATTAGATAACATCGACAGCTTCGAGACCAAAACGATATCCAACACTCGACGTATCACCTAAATACCTATAAAAAAAAAGAGTCATAAGTCACAGGTTTCACTTAGGTAAAAAGCGCCGGTATAAATATTCACGTTTGCTTTATTGGAAATCGATGGAAATGCAGCGCCTGTCTTCATTAACGTTACGTTTTATTTATTGCTTCCTGCTGATGGTTTTGTTGTTGTTATTTTCACGCTTATCTGAAGCACGGTCGATGCATGAATTCATATTTCACTAAAAAGTGACAATGGAAAGGGTTTATCTGGAAAACGAAATTTGTTTGATCTACGATTATAAAGGATTAAATTCGAATGCATTTATCAAAACGAACGCAGTCCTACCACCACCTATGCATTCATACATATAATACAAATTACACTTTCGAGACTTTCCATTTATTGCATTGTGTCCAATCTATTTAAATCTATTTTATTTGTGAACGATAAAAAATATATTTTACTAATGTTAAAAACTAGGTTAATAGTTTAATAATTATATGTAATATTATTTCTTTAATGGAATTTGTTAAGCTTTCCTTTATGAATGAAACAATGCAACACGTATTTCGAGCTTTTCGTTTACATATGATAACAAGTTGCACAAACTATCGGGATTAAATTAGAACCCACTAATCCCTAAAGTCTATTCTTATCGGCCACTTGCCAACGTTTACTGCGCTAACTGTTATTACTTTAATCACTTACGGGACGTATCGTTCCTACGAAAGCACTTGATGAACTCGAATTAACATTTACGAAAATATATTATAATTTAAATAATATGTCAGTTTAATGTAACGATTATTTCATTACTGTTTATTTAAACTATTAATATACATATCTGCCTTTATATCAGTAATTAACTCAGTTTAACTTATATAAAAACTAACATTATTATCTAATTATGAACGTTTTAAACTTCAAAACTTATTTCTAATTAAATATACTTACTTTATTTAATGATTTAGAATGCTTTAGTATTGATATAATGTTGTAATACGTAGAAAATTGATTTAAGATTTTTACTTTTTTGTGTTTTTTTTTTCAACATCTTTGTCCTATTAAGTTTACATATATTTAAAAATACTAATTTGTTGTAATGTTTTTTTTGTGAATGGAGTATAAAGTTTTTAAATGGTTACAATAGGGTTTTAATGGTGCAAAATGGCGTCTGGATAGAAATATGAATAGAATGTATAAAAAAAATATATACTCGAAAACTATTTCTGCTTGAAGATCGATAACTTTTAAAAGTATAGTTACATGTAACTTAACTTATATACTTCTGACAGGTATTCCATGTTTTGTATAAGTTTTAGAGACTTATAAAGGTACAAGTTTACAAGAAATTTGAATGTAATAATAGCTTGTACAATATAAAATAGAAAGGAAAGAATATTTATTTGAGATTATAATATGGAAACGACCAATGATCGAAATTTCTTAGCCTAACATATGAAATATATTTTTATTTATATAAATATAATAAAATGAATATGGAAAGAATAATGAATCTACAAATATTGGACATTTATCATTAAATATGCAATAAAATAAATAATGAGTGGTAAGTAATTGAAAGACCAATTGTTTGAAGTAAATGTATTGGTCAATAAATAATAATATTTTTTGTGTATACATAAAATAGACTTACTTGTAATATTGTTAATGGAAGTATTTGCTGGAATTTTACTTAAAAACTCATTAATTTTATTAGTGGTGATAATGGTGAAAGTCGAGTTTCCCGTTGCAATTCAACATACGTGACTGTCATATGTAATATGTAAATTTGAAATGTGAGTTTTCAAGTGAATTGTGTGTGGCAATCAATTTATTTAATGATGTTTGGAGGAGGGGTGAAAAAGCGTCGGTGAACTGGTAATTACTTATAGGGAACGGCTGATTTGCTCGTACGTAATATTAGTGTTTGTATTCAGCTTGCCGGATCTAATCTACATAAATGTCTTACGTAACGGCAACATAAAAACGCGCGGCGACAATGTTTTCGAATATTTATTCATAGGGCCATTCTCGCCAAGGGCTTTGGAATGCGCTATATGCTCCATGCGAAGAAACTGTAGTGTTATGTCTGCACGTTGAATAAGTAATTCATCTGGTCTGGGGTTGAAGAGAGGGAGGAGAAGATGAAGTTTGCAGCCAGCGATTTACAAAATGAATTGATAACGGTGGAGAAGGCCTTTTCTCGAGTTGCCCCATGAATGCAGTATCTTTTTTCTTCTCCATCATCTGGGAAGACGCACAATTACCACCCATCGGTTTTTCATTCATAATTCCATCATTTATCAAATGCGTGAATGGTAAGGTAATATATTTATTTTCAAGCAACTCGGATGGATGGATACGTGAGATCCATACGCGGTGAGCACAAAAGGGGATTCCCCGTGCGCAAAAGAAAATAAAGAAGGAATCGCCGATTAACTTGTCAGTACTTTTCCAACCCCCCATTTATTACGGATCGTCCGGAGGGCGGTGGTTTCTATTTTCATTTTTGCACGAAGAAAGAATGATCGAGTGAAAAGTCCCCCGCAATATTTCGAATAGTGTGTTTATAGCTTTGATTTGCATTCAGCGTGAAGTGAGAGCGCCTGCACACCCTTCGCTCTGAAGGACGGACAGGCAAACAAAACCAGCCCTAAGCGGCGGCTAAATATTGATTGGTTTTTCAGACGGCAACTACACAGATATGAATATTATGAATATTAACATCCAATATTTGACACGTAAGTTACGCGAATATCAATAATATTGTGTGTGTACAGTGGAAGCCCACAATATTGATAAACGCAACTTCTCCTCTTTTATACTTACTTTTCCCATCCACAATTCACCTCTTCCACAATTATTTATTTACTTAGGTTCATTACATTAACAAAGCGACATGTAAGAGTCACTTTTACATGTTGAGTGTAAGTGGTTGTCCGAAGCTGACAATCTAATTGTGTTTCCTTTTACTATTCGGTTTACCAGTTTTCAGGCGTGCAACTTAATTCTATGCATTTTTCACTCCCGATAAATATCTTTTATTATTATTATTTTTTAAATATTTTCTTTTTTTTTTTGCTGAATTAATTCAGTGGCCCAAGATGTATTACGTGGTTATTAATCTTAATAATTGCATCTCCTCGGAATATACGCGCTGCATGCGAAAGCCCCCGCACGATCCGACGGAATTGTTCGACTGTGAACTGCAATTATGCAAAGCAGCGGTGTCTTAATTACCTCTACCCTCTTTGTTTTAGTTCAGGTGAATAATTTTCGAACAATCCTCTTACACTCTTCGATTCTAAAGGACAAAAAATGTCCTCAGAGTTTCTCAACAATCGATTACACAAAGAAAAATCTACTTCATTATTTTCTGTATTACATTTATTTTTATTTTAAAGGAAGAAAATAGTTGTTAAAGTTTCTTAATTTAATTATAGTAAAATAAATAATTATTATATTTAGCAAGCGTTTATATGACTTGAGTCAACTTTCTCACTTTGCCAGAAATCTTGACTACAAATTTTTAAGTTTAGAGATACGCATCAAATAAAATATCGTGTTAGCCTGAAAATTGCTTATGAAAAATGTCAACTATAGAAAAACTGAAACTGCCTCTAATGGGTGAATTCGGTTAATGTGATATAATATAATTATACTGAAATTGTAACTTAACATAATTTAATCAAAGCTTACCTCTAATGTAACCTTACCTAATATAAACTGATGTAATTTTAATTAACCAAATTTTACAAATCCTTACTTATCTCAGCCTTACAGTTTTTTTTAATAAGTACACCCATACCTCGCTTTACTACTTAGATACGTTCCGAAAAAGTTTATACAAACCTGTCTTGCTTTTTGCTTTTTTTTTGCTATTATCTTTTACAAATAATAATTAAAGAAGGCTGTTTTAACGAAGTGCAGCATAAAGCGGTCGTATAGCGAGGTATAGGTGTGATATAGATATTTATTATATATATACTAATTCCCATATTCAATTTGATGTATGTTTATTTCAGTGAGCTAAATAATTAAGGAAAGACATTTTTCATACAATTAGATTTTAAAACACAGATGATTAAATAATGATTGTTTGTTGTATTGATGTTAATTCATTTCTTGTTTTCTTCCCCAGTGTAAGAATAACCACGGAATACCGTCATCCAAGGCCTCGTCGACGTTACAAAGTTACGCAGCACTTATATAATTATCAGCGAATTTGAGAGTCGTTAAAGTCCGGATTATTTATTTCTGGGGTAATGAAATTTACGTGAGTGCGCGACATTACTTGGAGGTGGCGGGCGGTTTCCGTCGGCAGAGGAGAAAAGATAATGAGAATTCAATTAATTTGTGTAATTGATTGTTCAGAAAAGTAATTTGTTTTGGTAATTAAATGTAAGAGGGATGGATGATTATGTAAAAAGGCGAAGCAATAATGGCATTAATACGATGGCCCCGTTTCGGCTTTCTCGTGCTCGTCCTCCCGCCTACGACCAACCAACTACCCCCAACACAACCGGTCGGACCCACCCCCGCATTTTCTGACATGGCCGGGTTAATTGCGCGTTTCGCACGCGAATGCGTCATTTAGAACTTGTAAAATTAACCCGCGCCGTGTTGATAAATGACTTATTAAACTTAAACTACGACCGCCACATAACCGCCGTACAATAATACATCCAGGGGATTTCCCAAACAACATCCCATTCTCAGAATCAACATCTGATTCTCAACATCCCTACACGAAGTTGAAAAGAGAAGTTGCGTTGTCCATCGACGAGAAACTCATCCCTTTTTTTTATAAATTTTTTTTATTGTAAATTTTTGTTTATATTCGATACGAAATATTTATTCAAATCTATCTGTTTGTGTGCATTGGCATCAGCCCGATCGGAAATATTTTTTGAAGCGCTGGAATTTTGTGCGCTTCCACCCCCACACACACATACAGTTCCCATATGTTTTTTAATTTATTTTTTTTGTATATTTCATTCCCTGTATCATTTTTTCTCTGTTTCCCTATTTTTCGTTTTGGCGTGCCGCTACGTATTTTTTTTTATTCTTTTTTTTCTGCTCCGCCCTGTAACAAATACACTCTGAGCGCATTTCCAACTGCGCCAGTTGAAATGAAACCTGTGTAATTTTTTATGGAAAAATATAAACAAAAAGTTTTAGGAAAATATGAGCGATACTACTGGTAACAGTGGGATGATGATGGTTATTTTATTTTTTGCGCAGCATATTTTATAAATCAAATATTTATTCGCGTAACCGAGTGGATGATGCATTGGAACGCGTCTCTAAACGTATTTGCAGCGGGGCAGCAGAATTGATCCGGATGGGTGGTGCAAACAATCTGGAACTTTGTGTATTTATTGGTCCACGTTTTATGTTTCAGATCCGCCGGAAATCATGATGAAGCCGCGGAACCAGCAAGTCAAGGCCGGAGGCATAGCGTTCTTTTATTGCGCCGCCAGGGGCGATCCAGCTCCTGTCATCCAATGGAGGAAGAACGGCAAGAGGGTTTCAGGTAAGGAAAAATTGTTTTCGGCCAACGGATCAAGGGATCAACTTTAGTTATTAGCCTCTGCCCTCCATACTTGACATACTTTCGTTGGACCCAAAACGCCCACCGCAATGTGTCCTTCCGACCCCACTTTATCTCGATGCACGAGTCTGTGGTTTTTCGGCTTAATTCCGAAATAGATTTGCCAGCAGAACAGAAAATAAAAACGGATCAATATTTTAATTTAAAATTATATTTTAGTTACATATAAAACAATATAGAAGTTTATGAAATTATCTGATGATTAACGATAATTTATTTAATACTTAGTTCTAGTTTCTGATGTTTTAAAACTAAAATTGCAAAATGCGAATCACAAGTTAAAAAAAAAGATGTAATATGTTAATGTCTAATAAAAGTCTATTTATTTTCAAATATCAATGATACAGTGAAAATTATATTTGTCAGTTTTATTGGTTTTTCTGCCTGTAGAATACACAATACACAAATAATTTAATTGATTACAATATTCTGTTGAATTTGATAGTTTCTTACAGACATCTCAAGTAGTGAATAAAAAGTAATCAAATAATTCTTATACATTTATTATATAAACTATAATTTCCAAATCATAATCAATAATGTTTCATGAAAACACTTTATATATAAAATTTCTTGAATTAATTTAACTCTTTATTACTAGAATATACTTAACATTAAAAAAATATTTGTTTCTTTGGATTTCTTTTAAAAACACATCAAAATTAAGTTGCCTATAATTTTTTTATAAAATTTCAGCGATATTTTCAATAAAAAAAAATATGTGGTATTTTTTGGTAGTCCATTACCTGACTACCATTAAGCTTAAATGGTTTAATAAGTCAATTATAGTGATTAGATTACAATTTTCATATATATATATTTAGTAACAATATTATTTTATAAACTTATTTCATACCATGATATATAATTTTTTTTTTCGTTCAACATAAAAAATAACCTATACAGAAGTGACAAACATTAGTTGAATGTATAAACATACATTCAACTAATCATTTTTGTATACAATATAAAGATTACATTAAAGTACCAAAAAGTAATTAGTGATATATGTGCCGGTAAGACGACAAATAAGCTGTACAATCCATGTGTAATGTAAAATTATATTAACAAGATTTGTACCTTATGCCACATCAATTATGATTCATGGGACAGCATTATTAATCATATTGTTAATAAGCACTAAATCGATAGCATAGTGTTTCATGTAATACATTATGTATATTATTCTATTATTAGATGTGTGTCAATTGGCAAAATAAACGCAATGAATTATTCTTGGTATGGATATATAAATATGTTATGTTCTATTTAAGAAATGTTCAATACGAAATTACTTAATAGTTTTCAAACTTAGAGATTTTTATGTATTTATCATCACAATTTTAACTAATCGACGAAACATTATAATTAATTATTCGACAGTAAAATGTTTTACAAAATTACAATTACAAAAAATTTGAAAAGTATGTAAAATTATGAATAATAACAAATATAAATTAACAAGGGCTGTAAATTATTTTAATGCATTTTGTTAAAAATAAAACTAAAATAGTTCTGAAAATAATTTTAGTAATTTAATATAATAATAATGTTTATTGCATCAGTCGTACAAAAAAATCATATACAGAAATAAAAAGAACAAAATAAATATATATAATTTCAAAAAAGTCAACTGAGCTATTGACCATAGGTCTCTTTGCTAGTAATTTAATAATTTTAACGAATGTATCATATTTGATACATAATGTTTCTACAACAGTAAACGAGACAGAACAATATTTTCGAGCAATAGTTTTGTGTATTTATTTCATTCCTATTTTAAAATATACACTTGCTGCAACTTTTAGTATAACTAGAAGAGTTAACAGTATGTATTTTTTTTATGAATTAATTCCGGCGTTAAGAGGTTAACTTATATAGAACTTCATAAATAAGTATTTAATTGATGAAACATAAGTTCCATTCCGAATATAATATATCTTAAAGATGTCACATCTAAAAGTTGTACGGCGCACAGTTAATATCTGGTATATTTTCCGCACGAGATGTTTAATTGTTCTGGAGTCACAGTTATGAAATTAACCGCCTTGAGAGAAAATGGGAGCAATGTTTGCGACAATGCATATCTCCCCTCCTGTAACTTGTGGAAATTAATAGGGAGAATTACCATTTAGAATCGACAAATGGCGTCGTCGAATTATTAAAATCAATAATTTCATAAGTCGACACTCGGTCGTTGCACCGACTTTAATATTAATCCATTTTAAAATGAATGCACTTCAACGAAACGGTTACTTATTGATAAGAAAAAAAATCTATAATAATCATTGTAAGTTCAAATTTAATATCCATTCATTATTGCAGTATAATTCATATTCATTTTTATTATAAATTTGATATGAAATTTATATTAAATTAAATTCATAAAATTTGATACTAATTAAAAGATCTTGTACTATATGTAAAATTTCACTTCATTAAAAAATGTTAATATCATTCAATTTAGTCTTCTATTTTATTTGTCTTTGTTATTTACAAGATTTGAGAAATCTTCTTCCGCTGCAAAACCATCACCTTCTGCATTCAATAAATTTAAATAATTTTTTTTAATAAAAATTGTTGAAAAACAGAGCTCGTTTCGTACAAATTCAGTTACAAATATGTTTTAAGTTGGCAATTAAACAGTAAAATGCATTTCTGTGCTTTCTTAGCGTGATCAAATATTTATTCTTCATTTTTTTGTCTTTGTTTACAAGGTTTGACAAATCTTCGAGTGCAAAACCATTATTTGCATGCAATAAATTTATAACGTCCTTGTCATTTTCGAAGCTAGATGACTGAAATCTGTATAACTTCATTTTTTAAGTTATTTTCTTCTAATACATCTTCTAGACATATTTTAGTGTCTTCTTTCCAAAAACTATCAATGTTTTCTAACAATTGCAGACTTCGTTATACCGACGTATAGTTATCAGAGGTAACGTTACAAAATAAATTATTTTTTGTCATATAATTGCGAATGTGTACGTAACTGGTTAATGTTAGTCCACTTATAAAAAGAAGTGTATTAAGAATCTATTCATCGTACAAACAACATACCCTTCACTAAGTATACGTGTTTGGTGTGCACTTATTCATATTTTCGTATACATTATTATTATTATATTTTTTTGTTCGTTCGTGCCATTTAGTTACATGAGCTTTTTATAACACGTTCGCATGTCGGCCGTCGCTTTACTTTTATTTCAATTTTTGCTTATCGATGAAATTTCATAAAAGGTACTTGTACATTATTTCTTTACTTTTTTTTCTTCTCTCTCTCTCTCTCTCTCTTGCTTATATTTTCGCCTGCCCTCGCTCACTCGAGCATTAATCAAATCGATCTTTGACAAACATGTTAGGGCTATTATTCATTTAGGCGACGTTGGACTTAACACAAAATCGATTCCATTCCGTGGACGAAATTCTGCCCAGATTTCTTGAGCCACACGAAACGAGCAATAGTATTAAGATAAATATGCATGGAGATTCTTTTATTTATTTGTATTTTTCTTTTTAAATATGCTTTCTTTTTCCATTTTTCCTTTTCTTCTCGTATTATTTGCGCACGGCGCGCCGTTTAAGCCGCTTCTGTTACTTTCGAAAACAGAAATAGAATAAACACACGGCTTCAATAATACAAAACCCTCAAACTAAGCCGCACTGGATTAGTAAGTAAACGAATCCTACATTCAGATTAGCGAGAATGACGAGAAACTTTACTTCTTTTTTCCATCATTTTTCTCTTACGTAATCCTAATTTTTATAAATCCGAATACATTTACCACTTTGTCTTTATTAAATATTTAACATTATTTGATGTACTTTAATAAGTAAACCACATTTATTTTTAAATTATGACGGTTGAAAATTTCAAAGAAAACAAAATATTTTGCTTATACAAAAATGTTCTCGATTAATCCGGTTTCAAATGGACTATAGTGAATCCGGACTGACAGATGCCGCACTATGCGAGGTATATACATTAATTTTTAAATTTTAGTATAAAAAAATCCATAATAGATTATTTTAAGATGATTTTTTTTTGTATTATTTTACTTTACGTCTATGTAACGTCTATTTTACTGTGGCAATACTGTAAATATAAAATGCAATTAGTAACATTTATATAAACAGTGGAAAGCAAATTGAAGCAACAAAAGGAGAATACAATGGTTGTAGAATTGCGCCCCTTTAACCGGTTTTTCAGTTTTTATTCAATTTCGCTGCGTTTTTCCAGAACGAAATCATTTCGCTAGGTACACTGCCAACCAGTATTGAGAGGCAGGCGTTTTTTAATTGGAAAATACGTCCCACTGTTGGAAGTTTATGTCTGCGAGCGAGAAAAATACACATGCCTCTCAAACGTCCTGGAGTTGTGTGTTTGCCTGTTCGAAGTTTAGTTAAAATAGATAACATTTGAAATTGGTTACGAGAACCCAATGAGAAAAAAAATGAATAAATAAAACAAATATAAATAAAAATAAAAATGAAACGCATGTTGTTTGCTTTGAATAAAATAGGTGAATTGTTGTAAAACGGGGTAAAAACAACAGAGCCCAAGGGGGCGCACGTTCCGTACAATTTCAGTTACAATAATAAACGAGACAAATGCGTTTTAAGTTGGCAATTAAACAGTAAAATGCTTTTTGTGTGTGCTTCATTCGCGGCCCTATGAAAAATACACAAGTCATTACTGCATCCGTGCAATGACTTTTATTTATTTCCATCAACGGTAAATTAAACTGGAATTGCTCAATTCCATTATTTATTCATACATATTTTTGCAAATATACATTTTAATTAAATTTTAACCATCACTCGTCTGACTTTAAAAACAAACTTTTTTTATGACTTAATTTTAACTGTATTGTTTCGTATTTGTACGTTAAATCAAATATAATTTGTAAGCCGAAATTTTGGTAAGAACAACTATTCTCATTCCTAAACCTTGAGTACACTTCACTTGATTGATGTGCTTTACTCACGCACGATTAAATGATATAAATACTTTTAATTATTTATATAGTAACAAATGAGTTACTTGTAAATTTATTGTACCTTGCATGATCCAACATAAAAACTTAATTTATTACTAATCGCGATAAAAAAAATACACATTGCAAACTACAAATATTCACTTTAGAAAATTGTTTAATTTAGAGATAAATCATCATTAGTTTTTATGTAAATTAAATTGAGAAGATTCTACATAATGTAACTTTAAATTTCATGTATTTTCTTATGAAGAGAGACGCATTATTCATAGTATGTATGTAATATAATAATTATTATTATGTATTTTGTAGAATAAAACACATATGCAAACATAAACATATATTAGTTTAATATTGAAATAAAATAACAAAGTTTGATTTTGAAATATTAAATATCATTAACATTTATATCAACAACTATAAAATTACATAAATAGAAATAAAAAATAACATATATGAATCTTTACATTGGTTGTCTACTTCAAAACTATACTATTAATTTTATATAATTAAAATTGGAAATCATATACACTCAGTCTATTTTATTATTTAACCCTTAATAGCCTCCTCTTAAAAAATATCAATGTATCTCTTGCAGTAGCCAATACATATTTTATATATTTATATAACTTTTGTTCATGTAATGGTAACATACAGTCAAATATTTGAAACATAGGACATTTAATGGTAAAATACCTCGGTTAACAACTACTGTATACAATGTGTGTATTTAAAGCAACTATTGTTACCGTGCTTCGTCATAATCAATAATAGATACATCTGTCATATATTTAGGTCTTTTTCTACGTATAGCTTGGATGTGACTTAATATTTTTCTAATGCGAAAAAAAAGTATTTGATTCATTCAATATTTTAACAAATGTATTTAAAAAATACAATTACTTTTTGTGCAAATTAATTAACATATTACTCTCATTATTCATGAATAATTACAAAAAAATAACATATAGTTAAATTATTACTTTCATGCCTCAACAAAGAGTGCCTTAGTTTCAATTCACTTCAGTCCGGTAAAGTGTCTTTTTGTGCAGTTTATTTCTATTTTGTTTTGTTCCTCTATTAGCCCTAACAGTATGCGATTTTGGCAGACATTATGTGAGGTATTGCTATACATTTCATAACCATCAGCATTCATCAAGTATATATCGGATTTAAGAAACATATCAATTGCAAATTCGTATTTCTACAATTTGGATGAACATTTCTGTGAGATTTTACTGTACCATTCCAAAGGGTTGTTCGTAAGTCAAATTTGTTCGTAAGTCGGGGAAATTTTAAAAATTTCAAAATATTCTTAAATTCTGTATTACTGACTGCATACATTTGAATAAATAGATTAAAATAAACAAAATACTTACTTACAAATTCTTATTCAATGTAGACATTTAATAAAAAAACGACAAAAGAAACAAGTGCAACAAAACAGATAGTATATTTTCCAAAAGTATTATATTTTATTAAAGGAATTATCATTTTTTGTTTGAACGGTTAATGTTTTCTGTCACTATATATCTCTTTGTAACTAGTTAGATTTTTAGAATTTTGTTCGTAAGTCCGGAAGTTCGTTATTCGGGGGATACCTGTATTTAACAATATGAAAGATGTTTAGCAGCTATAACAAGGATTTTCTCCGAACAAAATAAAATCTCTAAACAAAACAACATATTTAAACTAAAACATGAGTATTAAATAAGGAAAAGTTTTTAGTTATACGAGTCTATTTTAATTAGGGATTTATTTATTTTAAGCTTACTCGTAAACGATTTCCGACAGTTGTATAAAAACAAATAAACAAAAAAAAACGACAACACAATAATATGACGAGAGGTTATAGGACAATGAACAACTTTCAACTTTTACGGCTTAGATAATAAGTCAATTAAAAGTTTTGTGGGTGAACGATCGTGAAAAGCAGGTTGAAAGAACAAAAAAAAATAGTATGTGTATGTGTATAAAATGCGGACCGCCCCAAACCACAAAGCCGTGATCAAATTTTATGCGAAACTTTTCCGGCTTATTATTTATTCAGGAAATAATCCCGGGCCATGGAATTTCTAAATTCACATAGTGAGTTATATTACACGTTTTGTTTTATTTTGTTTTTTTATTATTACTGTACTTCATGAAAATCAAGAGCAATTGGTACATATGATAAATATTTAAGTCTTTTATCATTTATATCCTATTAACAACTTTATAATTTTTTTTGTAGTTTTTCCTAATCAGTAAATATATTTAAACTTTAACATATCTTAATTTTATTTACAAATATTTATTGGCTCTAATTTTGACTTGTCTTTTAATATATAATAAATATCATTTATGTAAGAATTAAAATAACATAAAGTAAATCACGTTCTAATAGAATTTTGTTGTTATATGATTTGTCCTTATCCACATAATCCTGAAATTGTCGGTCAAAATTATCGTTTCATTCATACTTACACGCAATCAGGTGTGGAAGAGGGAACGATTTTATAGTTTAATTAGTCTGAATTAATGCATGGCGAATTAATTAAGTTTCACTCTTATCTGGAAGACCGTTTTTAATTCGCGCCCGTTCTGCTCTCTTGATTAAATTAATTTACATTATCAGGACGCGCGGCTGGAATTAATTTCGTTTCAAGTTTTCCAAAGACATTATAGCAGGGGCCATAATAACTCTTCATATTAGAAATCTCACGAGACTTTCTCTCTCGTCCTCCTGTGCCACCTCCTTTTCTGCAGTCATAGATCTGAGTCTGCTGAATCCGGGGTCCTTTCTATGGGTCATCGAATGCACACAACATGCGTTTGACCCGACGCCGATAAATTACAAAGATATTGCCCGGAATTATGTTCAGAATTAGTTCGAAAACCGAACTGCAATTTGAACATCATTAATAACACCCAATACCAGAAAACGTGCATTGCCAGAAATTATAACACTGATTACATAACACTGTATACAATCTTGTTATAATTTCTATTTATTTTTTTTATAAAAAAAATTCTTTAAAAATATTTAAATTTATATTTTTTTTAATTGTATAGTATGAGTCTATGAAATAGATTGATGAAGTCTGTAGGAAAATCTGAGGAAGTTGGTTAATGCAGGATAGGATTCCGAACAACTTTTCTATGCATAAAGTTATAATTATCTTGCATATCCGTTAAGGAATATTTTTACCTCTGCGTAACTTTTCGTAAATATTGATCCTGGTTGTGTGCTGAAGAGCTCATTTGCTTATGCATAAAGTTTAAATAACATTGCAGGCGGCCTGCATAAAATTGAAACTATTTTTTTGAAAAGCTTCCTCGTTGCCCGTTGCTTTTCTAAAGAGGAAACTCCTTCTTCTTGTGTGTGTGTGTTTTTTATATTTATTTAAGTCTAATGGCCAGGAAACATAATACCACCGGAAGTTCTTTTATTATTTACTCTTTCTTTTTTTCTTTTTTTATTTTCAAAAAGAAAATCATGTTTAAGCATACCTTAAGATCGTCTTGAGAATGCATAACTTTCTTGAATATTGATCCCGCTTCAGGGTGAGTCCATTTACCTGTGTATATGCACTTAGGAGTGTATTCAGGTTGTGCGAGAGCTGCGAGGCCATTATTTTAATATGGTTGCTTTGTTTTTCCAGGGACACAATCTCGTTATCAGGTGAAAGATTTCACCGATGGTGGAGCTCTTCTAAGGATTGAACCAGTCAAGGCTAGCAGGGACGACGCCACCTACGAGTGCGTCGCAGAGAATGGAGTTGGGGATGCTGTCAATGCGGAGGCGACGCTCGTGGTTTTCGAAGGTAAGATTCATCAAACAAAACCAAATGCAGTGGTCTTCAAATTTCCATTTCCGCTAAACTTAGTTTAAAGACCACTGACCTAGTAATAGTAATTGGTGATAGTTAAACTTCCGGTCAACTTTGTCCGGTTGCTCGTTTATCCGGATCCCGGTTATCCTCCGCAGACCTACGCTCACATATTTGACTGCGTAATTACATAATGGGATGCCGGGTATTTGCTGGTTAAACTTAAGTAAATGGGAATATGGTTGTGTGCATGCTGGATGGGATGTGTGCACTCGCGGATTGTAATTTCCAATTACTCGAGTAGAACAAATGTTCGACGCCTACGGGATAATTATTTAATTAATATGCAGCATGTGCGGTGGCTCACAATTACGGAACCGATATTTCACCCATCGTTCCCGGCTTCCAATTATCACAACAAAATCCTATTTGCATATTGCTATTATTTCAGGAACTACCGAGAAACTTGCCTCACTACACCGACACATTAATATTCCATTTTACACATAATCTCTACCTTATCCGCATTGCTTAAGTTCATTTGGGATTTCCAACACCTAGGTTCCGTTTACTCTACTACCACTGATCCACAACTATTGCGATCTTATTCCTCACAAGTTAATTAATTAAATTAATATCCTCCTTCTTAAACAAATAATGTAAAGCAATTAAATTGTAATTTCTGTTTAACATCTATATGGCATACATATAAACCATAAATAATGATTAATAACACTCAAATTTTATAAAATATAAACCAATTAGATTTTAAAAATTATGTGATTGTTTATCAAAAACAGCTCTTGGTCAAATTAACTAGAAATGTTTACCATCGTAAGCAAAAGGCAGCTCTGGTGTATTGTATATGGGATGAACTAAGATTGGAATTTGATAAACCTTAGTGTTTACATAACTCCGCGGCCCAAGGATCCGTTATATTAGATAGTAGTGGGTCGTGTGTAAGGAGGTCGTCGCGCGAGAATCGGTTACGAAATTCATTAAAGTTGCAGCACGGATCCGAAATGTAGCCCGGCCACGTTGAACAGCTAAAGATCGGATCCATTGTCCTGCGGTCCGCAAACAACCGTTTAAACATCATAGGGAACTCCTGTTACAGAGTCGGGCGGCTGGAATTGAGTTAGACTATTAGATTGCCTTCCTTCCACGGTCACTGATCTTTCCGAGCAATCTGAATGTCACCAGATGACCAGAATACCATTGCGCCCCATCCCATTACTGCAAATCCACTCTAATAATTTTCCTCGTTTTCGACAACATCTCTATATCAGCCCTATTACATTTCATCTGCGCCACTTCATAACAATCCTATCGAACCAGCAAAGACCATTTCGTACTTACAAATTCAACAATCATTTTATATCGACGATCTTAGTAGGATTATATTGCTTTCTTTTACTCAATTTTCAGAAGTATATGTGATTTCTAATAAAAAAATAGAATCCATACTACGCGTGACTTGAGACATACCTATCAACTGTTATGTATGCATTTTCCAATGACATGACAACCAATGGCAGTTTATATATATCTGACAGACATGTATCTTCCATGTCATAGATATTCATAATATTGATAACATTTTGAATCATGAGACTTCAACCAAATACACTTTTTATTTACACAATTTTTAGTTATTATATAATATTATATTTTTAGCGAACAAATCAAATTGGTCTGCTGATATGAAATCTTAGCAATGTTCCAAGTGTTACTATTACACTATGTTGAAGAAAAAACTGTGTTTGAGAATGATTCCTGTTTTATAGTACTGAAACGTGATTCTAAATCAACAGTGTTTGATGGTATCGGTTACAAACGAGTCGATGCATCTCCAAGAAACAGTCTTTCTTTTCTTTTTTTAGTTGTTTGGTGAAATGTATTCTATGCAAGAAGTGTGTTTAGAATTCGAAGCGATTGAATTATCGGTAAAATGGTGCATGCAAGTGAGTGTGTGTGTGTTTGAATGTATGTGTACGAGGTCGTTTGGGTGTGGAAGTCTTGTAGATGGTGCACGTTCAATAAGTTCTCAAGTTTCGCAAAGAGCTTTCGCAGTCATCTCCCTTTACCAGTTCACCCTACACGTATAGGTGTACGCTATTGCTATACACGAGCACAGGGGAGGTGTTGGTTCTCATCGCCGTCAAATTTAATATAATGCTCACTTGCACCCCAGCATACACACGTAAACGCAGCACACACGCTTCCTACATTCCCTGAATGCATATGTAAAGCATGTATACACTACACGCTGTTGCAAATAGGACCGGCATTCCATTCGGAATAACATATGATTGCAATGGATAAATTTCTCACCTCTTCAGGCTATTAACTACACTACTACAAATTCTATATTTGTTCCATACAAGCTGCACTAATATAATACAAGACTTTAAATTCTGATAGTAATTTTTGTCTAAAAGAACTAGAGTTGGGATCACTTTCTTATTCATTGGTTTAAGTTATTTAAAACTATATTGCATTTTTATATGCAACAAAATCATCTTACAAATTTCTTCTTAACTTAATTGGTTCATTGATTAAAGTGAAGAAATAAATTTTACTATGTCAACGTTTGACATTGCCATTGAATATCAATTAAAGTATATTGACTCCATAAAGCTGTGAAATCAGGAAAGTAATGGCAGCGAGAATTTACTCTTAGATTTTATTCCTTATTCATAGCATAGAATCAATCAGGCGGCTTAATTGCGCGCAATTATAAAGACGTTAAATCAATGTTAATTGCGGATTCATAGAAACTTATACATAGCGGCTGAGCACTTTCGGGCTGTTACTCCTGCAATTATTACGAAGGATCGATACCACCGGCCTCGCGAAATCACATCGCATCGCCTGTTACGTAAACACGTAATGCACTTTTTAAACATGAACGTTAATGAAGTTATATTTTTTATATATAAATATAAAATATAGCAAAATGACAAGAGCATTTTATATCGTCGCATTTACAATTTCATTTTCGTCTGGTGATGTAAACATTTAATGGAAGATGATATCGCTTAGAAAACTTAATAGTACATTTATTTTTGCAAATATTATAATAAATCATTTTTTATTGTTATTATTTTGGTACGGTTTTATTTGTAGATTTATTTGTTAATAAATTTCTGGACTATGTTGCAATGAAAAATATTATTTTAAAATAATAATATAACAATACACACATATCTCGTTTTACGTCTAAGATACGTTCCGGAAAAGCTTTCTGCTCCTTTTTTTTTGCAATGTTTTTGGTCGTTTAACGAAACATTATGGGCCGTAAATTGAAAAAACGTCATAATTAAAAATACTGTTATAGCGAAATACCTCTAAAGATCGTCTGTATAGCGAGGTATAAGTGGTAATAATTACAGAGTGACAAATATAAAATGAAAACTACATAAGTTTTTACATTTACATTATAAAACAATATTAATGTTATTGAAAACATTGTCCATATTGTAAGGGTGGATAATGTTTAACAAATGTAAATATTCAATATTTATATTTAGAGACACAAACATGGGAATTATTTATAATAGATGTATTATTAATAAATATTCAATATTCGAAATAGGCATTGTAAATATTTCAGTGTGCGGGACGTGGCTATTATCATCGCCCATTATTTTATTAATAGACGTCCGCTGTTGTGTACTTGCTGCACAGCTATGTAAAAATCGCGCATTGCGTCATTCGATAGTTACATGCCATAATGATGATGATGATGATAATAGAAAATTTCGCCTACCCATTGTTGCACATCCAAGTTTCGGTCGTTCCATATTTGCGGCGCAGTTATGTTCCATAATAATGCAGTATAGTTTCGATAATGGAAAAGTAGAGACGACACCCCGGCTCCTCTACATTGTTGCTATTTAGAGGCCGGTCGCAATTACATTTAATAGTAAAATACAACCACCCACAGCCATGTAGGAAGCGTATGTGGTATCAAGGTGGGAATTTATCGTGGCGGGAATCTTGAATTTTAATCAAATTTATGGATTATCTGGCCCCAGGCTACATGCATGCAAACACACTTATTGTTCCAGTATATGCATACAATGTATGACTTTCTATTTATTCCTACTTTATTTAATATATTAAATCAGAAGCTTTTGAGATAGTGTTGTTTTAATTAGAAAACGTTAATTGCTACATGTGTACTTGTTATAAATGAAATAAATCTATCTATTCTGTCGTAAACTTAATTATACATGATTTTAATTGAGTTTATAGATTATTTATCGAAAGTAATATGAAATAATAATGTATATTTTTTGGTGGAACTAACTGTATTATATTTGTATAATATTTGATGTGTAAATATTTGAATGAATTAGTTACAAGTGATAAATGTTTCGTTTGAGGATGAATTTTTAATATCGAATGTGTGTGTAGAAAAGTTCTGACATGGGGAAAAGATGGTGGAGAACGAGGAGTAAAATAATATTGCGAGAGGAATCGAATCTTTTTGTTGAAAGGGTCCGCGCTTGATATTGGATATTTTCCCTTAAAGCTCCAAAGTGTAGATCAAACTAGTAATACATGTGTATGTTCTTATGTGAACTGACGTGCGTGGATGTTTGAATGTATGTATATGGCAAAGAAAAATAAAGTAATGTTTAAAAATACAAGACGAAAGGGAATATACATAAAGTTTACGTACACGTACGGCGCTCATGTAAATATGGAAAATAAACAGCTATCTGTGAGTAGAGATCTCTGCGTATTTACTTCTTCTTTCCGCGGATTCTTTTTAAGGGTGAGCGTCGTCTCCTCCTCCTTTTCCTCTACTATGCTTACTTACACTTTCCAAAGAAACAGTATGAAAATGTCGCAAGCGCCACACGTGAAAAGGAGACGGCACGGCACTTCTTCTTGCGACAACCGGTGGAGGCGGGGGTTGAAGGTTCTCTTTTTTTGTTCGGAATTGCAAAAATGCTGAAAGAATAGAATGAAAGATGGTATTT